AAACAAGAGTTCTTTAAAAAGAACTTTAAGTCACAGATTTGGTTATCTGTTTCTTTCTTGAGATTTATTTATTCCATTGGTTCCATCACACTTCCAATCTCACAGACTTAAGAACCCAGCATGAGTTTTAATTCATCTTACTCATCCTTGGGCACTAATTCATATTGATTCTGCTTTTAAATGGACTTTAAAAATAATAATGATTCTGTTCTTATTGCCTCTCCCTTGGAGTTCCTTCCCATTGGTTCTCCACTTTAACTTGCCATACCTTTGAGCACCATACAGCAGGCCATCTGTGGGCTCCTCATTGGCAGATTAAAAGTATGCAGAAAATAATAACAGTGTAATACAACTAAGATACAGTATAACAACTATTGACATAGCATATATGTTGCATGAGGTATTAGATGTAATCAAGATGTGATTTCAAGTTTACTGGGGGAGGCATATAGGTTACACGCAAATACTATACCATTTTATATCAGAGACGGGAACATCCTTGGTATCCACTGGTGGGGGGAGATTCCCTGGAATCAATCCCCAGCAGATAAAGAGGACTGACTGTATTTCTTTCCATGAATCAGAGCACTAATGATCACTCCCATCTTTGGAACTCTTAATAGCTCTTTTACGCTGTTAAATCAAGAACAAACTCTCCACTATATGATCAACTATAATTCCCAATATATCCTGTATTACTTTCCTTACAGCTCTAAGAACCAGCCCTGATAACCTTTGTAGCCCTCACTGTTCCCCAAACATCCACATGTTTTTCTGCCTCTCCATCTTTGCTTAAGATTGTCCTTATTCAGAATTTCAACAGTCCACCTTTTGGATTAAAAAAATTCCCAGTACTTAAATGCTTATGTCAAATGCTACCTCTTTCTCAAGAACTTTTAACCCTAATATATAATCCCTGGCTCAATGGAGCCCTCATAAAAATTTGTACAAATGACATCTTGTATTACATTATAGATATCTGGTATTTCTCTGTGTCTCTCTACTCAATGATAAGCAGCCTTCTATCCCTCATCTTCACACTCCCTTAAACAGGAGAGAGCCTAGAAAATATGCAGTACTTCACAAGTGTTGCTAAATTGAATCCAACTAACTCTTTCTAAATTACTGAAACCAAAACTCCTTAAGTGACATATTTCAACAGCAATTTTAAAAGATTTCTAAGAAACCAATATATTATTTAAGTATCATTATAACTGGTCATGTGGTCAACCAGGAATCAACTGAAAGTTTCATTCCATGCAATCAAATATTCTGCCCTTTTTAAAGACACTTTCTACCAAAATTATTTTATGCCTTAATAGACCATCACATCCACAGGAACAGTCACTGGGCTGGATCTTTGTGCTGTAAAAGTCTAAGGAAGATGCATGTGCCATGAACCAACTGAAAGAAATAGATGTCTGATGACAGGAGCATAATCACTTTGAACCAGCTCATACTATGATAAGTATGTTTCTTATGAGTCACAGTATCATAATCCCAATGGACTTAACTTTAAAAGGGCATAGTGTATCTAATACAGCTGCTCTGAGGCTGGGCCAAAGCAGTTATCCTTACTTGACCTTTTGGGCCTTGAATCAATAACAGGCCCAGACTACATGAAGAGAACTAAATTGTTCCCACTGCATTAAATGCCTGACAATCATCAGGCCAGCTGTGTATCCATCTACCATCTCCATTCACACATCCTTCTATCCACACTAGCCCCTCTCTAATGCATCACTGTAATGATATTATGTTATGTATATACACATTTTAACATGTACTGAGCACTTCATGTCAGACACTAGTCTAAGTATTTCATATATGTTAAACCTCATAACAGTTCTATAATGTAAGCACTGTTATTCCCATTTTACAGATGAAGAAATCAAGACTCGGAATGTTTAAGTAACTGCCCAAGTTCATACAGCTATTAAGTAGTAGGACTGGGATTTGAATCCTGGAAATTTTCTCCCGGAGTCCATTTCTTTTTTTTTTTTTTTTTTTTTTTTTTTTGAGAAAGCATTTTATTCTTAAGTCTTGCCAGGCTGCACTCACTGCAACCTCCATCTTCCAGGTTCAAGCAATTCTCCTGCCTCAGCCTTTCAATTAGTTGTGATTACAGATGCATGCCACCACCACCGGCTAATTTTTGTATTTTTTAGTAGAGATGAGGTTTCACCATGTTGGCCAGGCTAGTCTTGAATCCTCACCTCAGGTGATATACCTGCCTCGGCCTTCCATAGTGCCGGGATTACAGGCATGAGCCACCACACCCAGCCTAGAGCCCATATTTTTAATCACTCCATGATACAGTACTATGAGAGAAGGATTTTGTTTTCTTCTTAGAAGTTGGAGAAGTCTCTGAAAGTTACCCATTTCTGGAAAGGACCTACAGGAACTTGTCATAGAAGTAAAGGCACAGGTGCACATAAACATAGAAAACCTGCTAGGTTTCCATATTACAGTTACAAAATTGGAACCATTTCTTAAAAATAAAATTGAGAAGCTAAATTTGAAGCACAGAATACATCAGCGAGCTTGCAAGGCAGTCCTACGTGCTACTGGTAGGGATCTCTGCATGGACCCCATAAATGTGGTCAGGGCAATTGCCTGGACAGATTCTGCTCAAGGCCCTCGATGACCATCGGTCAGCAAGGTGAGAGTGAGAAATGAACTTCATTATTCCATTCAGTCTTAAAATAAAGAGAAGCATTTGGTCTTCTACAGAAATACCTACATAACCAAACAAAACCATGCTTGACTCAGTCCTGTATTTTGTACCAGGAAGGAAGGAATGCAGTGACTAAGATGCTATGAATAAACAACAAATCATTTTCTACGGGAGGGAGAAAAGAACGCTGTCTACCGCAACATTCCTTCCTCATAGTTCCACCAAAAAAAAGCACCAGCCTCAGTTCTCAACAGGGAAAGTGAACCTGATGGCACTCACAAGTTTCACCAGCGAAAGGCTGCATCTTATCTCTTACTCTCTAATTAAAGAACAGTAGAAAAAGCCCTGGAAAATGTGTTCCAAATTCATGATATTGAAGAAGGTTTGCCAGAGGCCATAAGTCAGAGAAGCCAAGTAACAGCTGAATTTGGAATGAAATATTAGACAACAACTTAGCTTTCCTTCTGAAGGGCTACCCTTAATAACACTGCAGCTTATAGGATGGACGAAGCTAAATAACAAGTTGTGGCAGTCAATATTTTATTTTCATTTTTATTTAATTAATTTATTTTTTGAGATGAAGTCTCACTCTGTCACCCAGGCTGGAGTGCGGTGGCTTGATCTCAGTTCACTGCAACCTCCAAATGTGACAATGCAGTAACCTAATTGGTGCTAATGTGAGGGGAATTGTGTCCCCACCCTTCACTCTTCTAAGGAGTGGCAGAAATTCCAGAAGAGAAATTCCAACCCCCCCGCCCCCGCAGGGAGGAGACAGCACCTCCCCCTTACCTGCACAGGTGCTCCCATCGTAGCTCTTGCACACCCACACGTGGCACTCACACAAGGGCCCGAACTCCCAGGTTCAAGTAATTCTTTTGCCTCAGCCTCCCAATTGACTGGAATTACAGGTGTCCGCCACCATGCCTGGCGAATTTTCGTATTTTTAGTAGAGACGGGGTTTCACCATGTTGGCAAGGCTGGTCTTGTACTCCTGACCTCAAGTGATTCACCTGCCTAGGCCTCCCAAAGTGTTGGGATTATAGTCGTGAGCCACCCCGCCCAGCATTTAGTATTTTTAAAGGTTTGGTCTGCAGCCTTCAAAGGGAAAACAAACCCAGTAGATGCACCTGCGCCCTTCCAAATTCCTTCTCTGACTATTTTTTTTTGCATTGCCAAGCAGACTGCATATTAAGTAATCTCACTATACACTCTTGGGCCAAGGTTCCAAGAAAAAAATATTTTGCTATAAACTAATTCTTGATCTTTCTATGTTAGTGTTGGCCATCTTATTAGTCTTAGCTACACTGAGGGTAAAATAAGTGGCTAGTTTTTCCTATGAATTTGCCAAGCTCTGGCTGGAATGTATCGTGTTGTGCTTCCACAAATGGAGTTCTATGTCACTCACAAGGCTCTAATTGAAGCTGTTGGCCTTAAGTAAAATGACACATTTATCTGAAACAGGTAAAGAGGTGAAGGATGTTCTCTGGGAAGGAATTGTTCGACCCTTTCCAATATCGGAACCTGAATCACTCCTTAAAAATGTGCAAGGAAAATGAATGTATTTTCACTCCACCCTTACAAAATACCAAGTTTCATTGCAACTCAAAAATTCAAGCAGCTAAAACACTACAAGAACAGACCCCTCTAAGTAAATATGTACCTATTTTTTTCCTTGTTACGGTTTACTGATATGCACTCCTGCCTGTGAGCCATATTCTAATGATGAGAGGACAAATCAAGCATCAAAGACAAAACCTGCCTCCCTGGATGGAGGAAAATAATACATTCCTCCTCCCACTGTTTCCTATGTAAAATAAAATACAGGCCTATGATCTGAAAATATTATGATTAACATTCTTGATAGGGATAGAGCCCAGTCACATAACTCCATTTGTGAGGACGTTATGGAATTTAGTCTGTGATAAGGAACTTTAGTGGCAAGTGAGATTTCAGAATTAAGCAAATGACGGCCAGGTGCGGTGGCTCAGGCCTGGAATCCCAGCACTTTGCGAAGCCAACGAGTGAGGACGGCTTCAGCCAGGAGTTGGAGACCAGTCTGGGCAACATAGCAAGACCCTATCTTTAAAAAGAATAATAATTACACTAAAAATATAATTGTGCCAATGATTTTTTAAAGTGTTACTTCTATTCAAGTTTGGAGCCTGGGGGATAAAAGTATTGTGATAAGCGATGCCGGAATCAGCCAAAGTGGGCCAACTGCAGTGACTTAATTGGTGCTTGTGCGAAGCAAGGAGTGTCCCCAACCTTCACTCTTCTAGCGAGTGGCAGAAATCCCACAGGAGGAGTTGCGCCGCCCACTTACCTGCACAGGTGCTCCCGTCGTAGGTCTCGCACACCCACTCGTGGCACTCACACAGGGGACCGAAGAACATGCCCGGCTCGGTCACGTGGCAGATGCAGACGCCACAGTCGCAGCGGCCCCGGCCGTGGCACAGCGCGGCCCCCGGAGGCTGCCCAGGTGCGCGGCAGCGGCGCTCGGACTCGGCCCGGGACAGCCTGCAGGCGGCGCCCGGCCAGCTCCTGCGCGGGCGACAAGCAACGGCCAGGCGGGGTCAGACGCGGACGCCGCCCCCTGCTCCGAGCCCACGTTTCCTCCCCAGCGTTCCTTCCAGGTGGAGACCTACAACCCCAGGAACCGGAAGCCTGAGGCCCACAACTCCCTGGGGTCCAAGCGCTGCCTGGGAGGGCTGTATTATCCCAAGCAAACAGGTACCACCCACCTGAGACAAGAGCAGGGCCCACAATGTGTAAGGGGTGACCTGCACCCCTGGTCACAGGTCCTTCTTCCAGGTGACACAGGCGATCTGCCCTGCTCTTTGGTAATTTGTCTCTGAATCTGATATGCACATTTAGATTGAATAGAAAGTAATCCAAGGTACGGCACTTTGCTGACTTTTCAGTTCTCCTTTAAAAAATCGTCCCACTGCTATCTACTGGCCAGTGGGCAGTTATATTATGGAAAAGAAGAGGTGAATCTATAGAAAGAGTTAGATATATTATGATAGCATCGGGCGTAATTTGCATTAAGCAGTCTTTAGGACTTGGGTGAAAAGTTTAGTTTCAATATTGCCATGTGCCTCAAAACTTCTTTCAGAATGTGATGCAAAATGTAATACAGACCTCCTGTTGGTGCTGTCAGGAAACAGAGCTCATTCTGCTTTATAGGTTGTGAGAAGATACAGGTACACATAGAACTACCTGTAACTCATGGCAGAAATTCCTCCTGATATGTATTTGCAGAAGAGGAAATGATATTTTTATTCAATGATTGCATTTTCCCAAAGGAAAGCAAAAGGACAGACATGAGGCAATTCACAGTGTTGATATAAGGAGAGGAAAGGGAGCAGGTTGAAAACAGTTATCCCGTGTCCATTTTAGTAACAGCTCTTGGCTTAGGGCAGCCATCCTGCAAGCTTGAGCCCTGCCACATAAGCAGGGCAGGTCTGTCCTGAAGAATAACAAACCAGACTTACCTCAGAGATGGCGAGAAGCTTTGAGGAACAGCTGACAGCCCAGCAAAGAGAAGGGAGGAAGCCAGCAGGAAGAAGTTGCTGAAGCCTGGGGGACGCATGCTGAGCTCCTGGGCTGCTCAGGGCGAGCTGCACTTCTGCAAGGTGGGGTTCAGCAGGGGAGGCAGCAGGAGGGAGTGGTGCCACCAGCAGATGGCCAGGCAGACGGACCCACGGACACCCAGGCGTGCTGGTCCGGGGCTCCAGCCGGAGTTGCAATTGCAGCGAGGATTTGGGCAGAGGCACTGCTCTGGGCGGGGTGCTGGTGCCAAACCCCTCAGTGGAGAGTCTAGGCAGGGAAGTAATTAGAAACAGTTGTACAAGCAGATGGTTTATTTTGACCAAAAAAAAAAAGTGTCCTGTTCACAGATTTGAGAAAATCGTTTCTTTCTTCAAGTACAGGCCCCAGAAATCTTTGACAAGAGAATATTTGGACTGGCCGATATTAAAGAGACCTTTAAAATAATCCCTGAGTTGTGAAGAGGAAGGGTGAGACCAGTGACAGTCGGTGTGAACACTTGGGTAGGGAACACCACACGCTTTGAAAGAAGATACACTCTTTGGAGTTTGGGTTGTGGGGGGGCGCCAGGAAATCTAGCAAATACAACTTTTTCTTGCATTTATTATCCTTTGATTTAAACTGTGGATATTTCATTTCTTCAGTCATTAAAACAAGTGTGTCATGCTTCCAGTAGTTTATCACACCACATTTTTTTCTTGACTTGGACAGTTTAAATTGCAGTTGTCCCAAATTCACCCCATTCTCCCCATATATTAAATGTGAGGAAAGAAAATTAAATGTTTATTTATAGCACAAATTGCACTGAGAAACAATTGGTGTCATTTACTAAGCACCTACTATATGCCAGTCATTTCGTATGTTTTCTCTAATTATGGCAATAATCACACATTTATTTATGCATTAGCAAATGAGGATTTAGCATCTCTCAGGTGCCAGGTTTTGTGCACGTTCCACTGCTGTCTACTGGCCAATGGGCAGTTATATTACAGAAAAGAAGAGGTGAATCTATAGAAAGAGTTAGACATATTATGATAGCATCATAAATATATGTTATATATTTATGATTAACAGGGAATATCATATATATATATATACATAGGGAGAGAATATAACAGGGAACTAAGGAGGCATGTTCTCTGCTCGCTCAGAGACCAAGAGCTAGAAAGACATTAATCAAAACAAAACCATGAAAACAAGGACAAACAGTTGCAAGTGCAACGAGAAGTTACTTCCAGATGAGATACAGGCACTTGATCTAATCCAAGATGGTAGCATTTGAACAAAAAACTGAAAAAGTCAAGGAATTAAATTGGGTGGAAATAAGAAGATGGCATAGAACAGGGAAGCATCCTTACTCCCATTTTAAAGATAAAAAAACTGAGGGCAGGGCTGGGCGAGGTGGCTCATGCCTGTAATCCCAGCACTTTGGGAGTCTGAGGGGGGTGGACCACCAGATCAAGAGATCGAGACCATCCTGGTCAACATGGTGAAACCCCGTCTCTACTAAAAATACAAAAAATTAGCTGGGCATGGTGCCACGTGCCTGTAATCCCAGCTACTCAGGAGGCCGAGGCAGGAGAATTGCCTGAACCCAGGAGGCAGAAGTTGTGGTGAGCCGAGATCGCGCCATTGCACTCCAGCCTGGGTAACAAGAGCAAAACTCTGTCTCAAAAAAAAAGAAAAAAAAAACTGAGAGCAAAGAGGTCAATTGACTTGCTCAAATTCACACAGGATGTTAGTCATATTTCAGCTGAAATCCAAAGCACATACACTATCCCCTACATTTGCAGTCATCTGGGAAAAGTGTGTAGAAGGTTACATAAAAAGGAGGAAAACATTTTTCCTTCATCCTAAGAAAAGCACTATAGCCGCAATGCTTCCTCATGAAATAGAACCGTCCAAGAATCATCTGTGGTCCTGGTCCCTTAAAATCAGGGAAGAGCCATAACAGGATTGGATTTCTCCCGGTCATTTATGTCAATATCAGGGCAAGAGCACCACAACACTTGCTTGCTGGAACAAGAAGATAACAAAGGTCCTCTAATCACAGACCATCCCTTTTCCATTTCTCCTCCCTAATCTCCTCCCTGCACTAGGAGAGGTCTTTCATGGGGAACATCTTTCATGAGGACCCCCGCCCCGCCCCGCAACCCCTACCCACACAACTTAACCTTTTTCAAATAGCTGATTTTCTGGCCACCCTTAGATACAGGTGTGTATACACTGGTGGAATCTTCTATTGCAAGGACAGACTGGGGACAGGTATGCACAGTTTGGGGAGGATATCTGGACAGGGAATCCTGGGGTCTTCGATACCCAAAGTGTGTCTTAGAAAAAGAAAAGAAACAGGTTCTGAGTTGGCAAGTTCCCTAAGTCACAAGAACTTATCCTGTGGGGAAGTGTCTGTTTAAAAGAGAGACAGAATGGGACTTACTAAGTCAATGGTTCTCAAAGCATGGTTCACGGACTGGCAACATCAACATCATTTGGGAACTTGTGGAAATGCAAGTTCTCAGGCCCCAACCCTAGCTCTAAGGGATCACAGAGTCCATTTGAATAATATCCTAAGATGTCTATTTGTACATAACAGCTCGAGAAGCCTGCAAAGCACAGGGCTCAGGGCTGAGCCTCAGGGTGGCTGGATCTAAGAGTGGAACTTCCACCCACCTTTAGTACAAATTCTAGAGTTGCATTTTATCCTGCCCACATGTGATAGTACAAGGACATAGGAACAGGCTTTTCTGTCAACATCCAGACACCTAGTGACTCAGAGAATATGGTAATTGTAGAAGGGAAGTATCTATTCCAAAGCCTGACTAGGAATTTGCAGTAAAAACATGGAAGCTTTAATAAATGAGTCATGTATTGTTTGCTCCTTGCATATTTTCTGAGGGGAAAAAATCATTATGGAATAAAGACCCCAGGTTTGAACATTTTTAAATGGATTAAAGTGATTTTGTTTAACCTGTAGTATTGTATAATAATATAGTAAAGATAATATTGCTCATCGAATACAGTGTAGTATGTACTAGGTGACTGAGAGGATATAAATGTCCAGATCATTACATTACTGTGACTAAGAAATAAAATTCCTAGTCAGTTGAAATAGTTATATTGTGGCTGACTTAGTGACTCAGTCAAAAGTCTTGGATCCACAGAAACTGTGTCGAAATGAAAGGGTAACTTTAAATTTATGCCTTTTAGCATACTTTTTTTCTGCCAAAGTATTGAATGCCTTGGAAACACCCACTCCCTCCATTTTCCCAGTTTTCAGAACCTCAAGGACACACATGTGGCAAGAAAGGTCCTGAATTTCTCACTTCTGCTGGCTGGGGACCCAGCAGTGGGTTGGATGCATGATGAAGGGTGCCTGAAAGGTCCTGGTGCATCTGGAACTCAACTCAAAAAGATTGAAAACACCCTAGTACTTGAATGCAGTCCTTCAGTTCTCAGGTCACACAATCAGAGAATTTCAGCATTCAAGATATTTTTTAAAGGTTGTCTAATTCAAAACTTAATTTGGTGATAACATACAGTATATTTGCCAAGTAATTAGGTGGCCTTGCTAAGAAAACAAAAAATAAGAGGACCACATTTGTTTTCTGAGAATCGCTCTAAAGGTTTTACCCCTTGATTCCAGATCTGCTCTAAGAAGACATTTAAAATAATATACTAGCCACAAGCCTTGAATCAAATATTTAATGATAATAGTATATTCCCCAGTCTACATAACCCTCAAACAATTTTACACTTCATAAAGATAAATATTTTCATTCCCTTCAGCTCTTCTTTATGTATTACAACTTTAAGCTTTCAACGTCCTGATATTCTGAGTGTTTTTGCTTTTTCTGGGACGGATGCCTTTTAGAAAGTATGATATACACAACTGAAACCAATCAGGTAGGTGTGGCCTAATGGATGTAGAACAGATTAGTCCTTTCAGCATTCTTGTTTCATATGGTATACTTCTACCAATAAAACTGAAGGTCATATTCACTCTTTTGAGTGCCACGTTGTCCCAGTTGTGTCCTTTTAAAGTGTATTTTTCCCCAAACACAAATTCATATTTATCTTTATTCTTTTTCATCTAAGCTCAGTTCTTTTATCCAGTCAGTAAAAATAATTATGGTTACTGGTTTTACATTTCTTTCACCCTCCCAAAAGTAAATATGATGAGCACACATTCTGTACCTTTATCCAAATAATTAACAAGATAGTTGAAAAAAAAATTAGGCTGAGGACCAAGTTTAGACACAACCTTTCTTTAAGACGATGTTAGCCCCTCAGTCAGCACATATTGAATAGGCCATCCACCCACTTGCAAGTGTACTGAGTTGTCTAATAGGAGCCTATTTCTTCATTTTGCTCAGAAAAATATTATAAAAGACACCATCAGTTGCTTTACTAATTTAGTTTACCACGTAAGTACGCTATCACTCCTTTTCTTCCCTCATCTAAAATAGTGCAATATATATTCATACTCATAGGCAATATATATTCATACTCAATATATATTTATTCCATAAATAAACTGAAAATGATGTACAACATGAAATAAACTTATGACTCAACAAAGGATACAGGTAATATAGTGGATTCTGAATCAGTTGTCAGATGACATTTTGGCCTTTAGCATCCCCCAACATGACTGAATTCAACTTGCATCTATATAACAACAGATCCTTTTCCTATATTCCCATTTTTGTTAATTATATCATTTTAACTTAATCCCTTTAGACATAACTGTGAGAGTTATCTTTGGTTCCTGTCTACAATTCATCTGGATTTTCTGGTAAATCCCTGAATCACATTGAGCCCACCTCCTAGTAATCTAGCCTTCCATTTCAACATATATATTTCAGATCTTCATCTTGTATCTTGCACCCTATTGCCATAGCCACCCAACTGGTCTCTGCATTTATTCTTATCTTTTTGTCTCTACATTTACCCTTCTCCCTGTGTTATCTTTGTGGCATGTAAATTTCATCATGTCCATTCCCTATTGAAAATATTTTAGTAGCTCTCCATGGTTTATAGCATAAGGCCTGAATACTCTATGAGTTCATATAAGATACTCTGTGTTTGGACTCTTGACTGTCTCCATAGCGGATGTTGTGGTTCCTCCCAGATCCCCTCTCTGGGGCCCATGACAGTAGTAACTGCTGATGCCCCCTCACTGAGACTTGCCCTGTGCATAACGGACAGGCTTCTTGGAGGCTGATCACTCAGATTGAGATAATTCCCTAATCCCCACCTCCAACAGTATTGACATCATCAAGCCTCTCATATTTGGAAACTGTAGAGCTGAACAGCTCCATCATTGTGCTTCTGTCAACAATGCAAAAAAAGAATTAAAGACCCAAAAACTGAAAGTGACAAGATATGTAACAAGAAGATTTGTATAAATACTTTTACAGGAGAAATTTGACCTCAGATCTCTACCT